AGAGTGAGCACAGACCTAGAGTTTTCCAGCCTGGTTTCCCATAAACAACATATACCGATCGATAAGGTCTCCAGTGTTCGGGACGTATGGCTTCTTGGTAATTCTATAACAAAGTCCCCGCGTTAAGGTATACCCCTCTTAGTGATTATCGTGGGCTTCAAACAGAAGCGGATGAGCTGAGGTTGCCCGTTTGGTTGAACATGGAGTTGTCGTCTGGACCGGAGCAACATCCTGCGATTGCATGTGAAGTGAAACTAGAAGACGAAAGACTATTAATACTGACAGTCACCCAGTCACATCTGTTTTTACGGAAGCTAAACTTGGAAGCAGTCGAGCCCTTGTCCCACTTTAACACATCCAACTGTCTGTGCGCAGGGGAAGATTAGGATTCCTCTGTACCTTGTTTGCACACCACGTAGGTGGCACCGACGCTTTCCACCCTTGCATAAATCAGATATTTGTCCGTCCTTGGAATTTGAAGCGTTGTAATTGCTACCAAGTTTCTTGCGAACCATCAGTTTCTTTCTCCACCAGCCTGTTTTTGCTGTGCCCTGTCACAGAGTGATGGTATGTCACCGTAACAATCAGACCTTAATCGCAAGCCACTTACCTAGAACGTTGGCTTGATATTTTCGGGTACTTGTGAGTCACGAGTAGCATATATTCACTAACACATCATAGATCGCAATCACCTAACCAAACATCATTTGCATGAGGTTAGATGCAGCGCACTTCAAATTCCTCTTAACGATTTCCCTTTTATTCTCCAATGGGTGTCTATGGTTAGTATTGTAGTGGATCAGATGTCAAGCATGCAACCAGTGCGCTGTGCGTTCGAATTAGTGTCCATGTTCAGGCAATTTTGAACTTCCCACCACTTCGCGCACCATGCCTTCCCTGATACAGTGTAACAGCTCCAACGCCGTGAGTGCGCAATTATTTAATTTGCCAACGAATGCGTTCTCTGAACATAAATACTTGCAAAGACCGAAATACCAAAATTTTATTGTTGTTCGAATTTTCGGAAAAATGACTGGTCGTGGGAACTTCCGAGAGAAATAATTGCCCACCTACTATTTATGGTGTAAGTAGGAGCTCAGCTAATTGACTTGTTGCGAGCATGAGACTAATGTGCCGAGCCAAGATCCTCCATGGGCCTGTTACCTCGGTTTGGGCAGTTAAATTCATGAGACGCTGAACTAAGTTGAATGCGGTAGTTTAACCTCACTGTCGGAATATAGACTAATTGTCTGCACTTACTGTGCATTTTTAAACGGGCGGCAGCCCTTTTTGTCTATAACATGGTTTTCAAGATTTATGGCGAAATGGTGGGAAAGCCGTCCTGTGATAACTCTTGCAGGTAAATGAATTTGAGACAATTGATAAGACTTGTTGCAGAGGTCTGCACTTCAGAAACAAGCGCTTATACGACCAAGTCAGATCAGCGAAAAGCACGGCTCATTTTACAGGCAGAACATCCCTATATACTTTGTTCGTGTACGTTCATATACGGCTTCTGTGGACCGATCAGGTTTCCTCTTTGACTCAATTAAACAAACAACTCACCATAGCGCACACCAACATCGGCCACTCACCGTCCATCTCATAATGGCTGTTTAACTTACTCCTTTTATCTGTCCACTCTGACATGACATTCCCATCACATGTCTAATTGTATGGGACAAGCAATTCCATCCAGTATTAACTCCAGAAGGGGAATGGAGTTAACCACAGTAGACAGTATTCACGGCAGATACAAAAGTGTGTGAAGGAGTGAAGGGTGGAGATGTGAACGTCAGCGCAGTAGTTCAACGAACTGACAAATGGTAGGGCGGACGTGCGCGAATATGGACGTAAGGTAAAGAAATAGCAAAATAATGAAAAATCATGTACAGTCGAGGTATAAGCTTAGTAATCATAAAGAAAATAAAAAAGCACTTAACTTCGGGCCGACATAGGATTGCAATGAGTGCCACACTCAAACTCCCACTAAGCTTCCTTCGCAGAAGTTGATTTCTAGCTTTCTAAGAGGATTCCCACACCGTACACAGGTTGTGCTGACAGTGTTTTTGTTCACATTGCTGGCGGGTTGATGGACCGAACTTCGCTAAATCAATAGATCACACTAGTTGTAACCAAAGACTACCTCACACCGATGAGGGACATGTTCACAGCCGAAGTGCGAGAAGCAATTCGCATTTGGGAGTGTGGAAACGACTTCAAGCAAGATGTGATGTGTGTAATCCTGTATATAGTACCATTGTGCACACATCATGGATGGACGTCCGCTCCGGAAAATATTCGTCTTGACTCCAGACTGCGAATCGATACTGCTTAGGTCTGTCGGTGTCAACGTCAGAGCAGTGTTAAAAACGTGAAACTCGCATTGCCATTCCTACAATCGTCTGATGCATGCTGATGATTTTGCACCAGATTTTGTTTAAATGAATCCCACGTATCCATCTGGGTGGTATCGGTCAGACATGTCACTCTCAATGCAACAGGCATGTGCTCTACTCCGGAATTCGTTAACACAATTTGCCGTAGCCTTTCTGTTCCCGATTTAAACTTAATTGCCTTATCCATTGCGCATCCAGTGGTGACATGGAAGCGAAACGATCAGCAAAGTCGTCTAATCACTTAAAATCTTGGCAGGAGGACGCACGCCTGTGTTGGAACAGGATTCAACTCAAATCCAAATAGACGTTATACACCCGACTGGGCACATTTTCGGCACTTTAAACGAAAAGGGGTTGTAATGAGGCATAACATGGACATGAAATGATAATCAAAACGTTAGAATAAATAAAATATGCATTTACATCACTCAAACAAACGTTCACGTGTGGTATCGATAAATTTACTGGAGTCCCCAAGAAAATGGAATAAATACGGTAAGATCGAGTGGTGATTACGTATTGTACGATAAAACAACACTCTAAATTTGCAGCGGGTAAACGAGCAGGAGAGGGCTTTAGGTAAATCAACGTGAATAAGCTGAAAAGCTTCATTTAAAACCTTTAATGATATGTTGCCACATGCAGCAGAATGCTTTATAACGGCGAACTCATTCAGAGACTTGCTGAGCAATCCACTACACCTGAAAATGAGCTTAATGGAACGCAAAATGTGAAGCGATTTTGTAGAAAAACAAGGAAAATGATAGATGAGCAATATAGCATGTGAGGGATAATAAGGCAGTCAAAAATTTAAAATTAGCGTGCAATACTGAAAGCATTCTGAGTCTCAGGGCATATGATGATAATTTAGGCGTCTTGCAATAATCATTCCGTCTACATGTGTTGAGCATTATTGATGATGGCTTAAATATACACCAAGGTACTTAAAGGTGATGCTTTTGCCAATCTCCGCCACCTGTGCCGAAGACGCGATATTACTCTCGACCTGAAGGGCAGGTTATAGCGCAGTCGTCCGTTCCACTCTCCTATATGGTTGTGAAACCTGGCCCATCAGGTCGACAGACATAAAGAGGCTGGTCACATTCGATCGTCGCTACCTTCGCGGCTTACCTCATACCTGGTGGGAACACCACGTGAGCAATGCGCGTGTTCAGCGTCGCGTATTTGGCGCAAGAAGAGCTAGTGAACCGCTCAGCACCATTAAATCGCGCACCAGGATTCGATGGCTGGGCCACGTGTTCCCGCATGCCAGCACACCGACTCCCACCCGTGTATTGTTTACGCACCCGGGGTGCGGTTAGATGTGGAGGAGGGGAGGCCAAGCAATGATTTAGTCGAGAGAAATGAAAACCCTCACTTCGAAATGGCGTCGGTTGTTGCATCCCGACTGCCTGGCTGGAGTCCTAAGAACGATGAACACGTTTGGTTGGACACACTTGCTGATATGGCTTGGAGCCGGCCCCAATGGCGTTTGTGTTGTGAGTCCCTTCGTCCATTCTTCTCCTGCTTAGCCTCTTCCTCCAATCAGGATCTAATTTCCTGGGCGACGATAGCTGGCTGTTAGCTCTGCGGAAAGATGCCCATCCGTTACTGGGGCCTCAGCCGACGTGCGTCTGTTATTCCTCTTCTTCTTGTCTTTTGTATTGCGGCACAATAGTTGAGGTGTTTTCCACCTGCAGCTAACCTGTATAGTGATGATGATAATGATGACTTAACAGTGGATGGACTTGGTACGTTGTGGTCACTCACTACCATGGGGCGAGAAGTTTGCCAAGATCGAGCATTTATCAGTGCGGAGGATAGAGCAAGTTACATCGCGGAATTTAGAAGCTTTGATAATAAGGGATCGGGACAACGCCAACTGCTGAAGCTCGCGCAACCCGATTTGGAGAGCCGTTGACGATTCAGCCGTCGGCGCATTGCTGTTTTTGAACTACGCCGTCAGCTTACTTACATCCAGTAAAGTTGGGGGGAATTGGAATCCTTTCAATCTACAAAGTGAATAGACTAGGAGAAATGATATCAGGAAGAGTGGGGATCGTTTACCTTTTAGCTGGGTGAAATGTGATCGATTTGTGAAGTAGTCGCTCATCAGGTTGCACACTGCCAGTTGCACACCATTCACAAGCAGTTGATTAAGCATAATTACGATGTCGACGCTTTCAGATATGTTGGAGTAATCAAGGAAGAGAAGACGTACAGTCTTGCATTTCGCATTCAATGAAGATTATCTTGAGTGAACAAGGCATGTTACGATATCCAACGTGGAACCCCGCGGTCTGTATACAAACTGACATTGGTCCACAGACGGAGTGCTTGTTAACATAGGTACAAGTAGTTTCTCTAGGACTTTTGATGAGTCCAGATACAGGCGCTTTATGTTATTTACACCATCTTTCTGGCTCGTCATTTTTACGTTGACTTGCTAAACACTCACTTTTTGCCCTTGTTGAATCACTGCTCCATTACCTCATCACTCTATTTTATGCTGCAATGGTTTGGATTTATTGGGAACATGCGTGTTCGCTCGGAAAATCGCGCTTTAATTTCGTCGCATTCTGCTGAAACTCCATCTTTCAGGAACTTGACCGACAGCAATCTACACAAGTACGGAAAATCTTCGAAGAGATAGACCAGATGATTTTCGAAGACAACTTTCAACAATGTCCAGTAACTGCAACACGCATGACCCAGGAGGTTGAAGGTAAGTCGTTAGTTGTGTGGTTCAGCTGCTAACGACGTAATCGCAACTACGTCGTTTTGCACTTCTCCCATTCACTATGGATGCTTGGTATACTCTTGAAAGCAGAGTATTTCTATGATGGTTGATCTTGTACACATTCTCCGTTATTTGTTCATTGAACTATGTGTAGTACAGTTCTATGTGCCTAACCCTCCTTCTTCTATAGCATTCTAATCATCTGGTGAATTGATGTGAGAAAAGCTCTGTTCTCATGGGTTTGCGTCACTTTACGCAAGTGCTTATGTCTCTCCTCAATCTGTCAACGCCTGCGTCCATACGGTAGCAATACAAGTCGATTTCTGTCACTTTCGCAGATGTATGCTAACGAATAATCATTTTTAGGCGCTCATATTTCTACAATGGGCTTCAAACTGATTGGAAAATTACACTGTCCCATATCTCAATCTTTGATCAGTTTTCCCAGGAATTCCTGGTTCCTTCCATGTGAACGCAGGAAATTTGGTGACACTTTTGAATTAATTGCTACATATTGTTATACCGAGCCTTAAACAAATGTCTAGATTGACAAACTCTCGATAAAACCATTGCTGGTTATCCAGATAATTGGTAAGAAATCATTTTACTTTGAATGTGGCGGACTTATCGCATATAATGTATCATAGACAATGAATGATATATGAAAGTTGTGTTGCAAATAAATGGTGGTTTCTGATTACCGTGTTGGTTTGGGTTCATTAAATTGCTTAACTGTATCAACTAAAATGGCACTAAATGGGTTACCTACGAGTTCAATTTCAAAAAGTAGAGCACAATGCTATAATTGCAAATGGTTTTGGCACATATAAATTATATTATTATTATATAATTATAATTATATAAATTATATAATTTCCGTCGGCATGTAGTGAGACCAAAAAATGATGTATCAGGGAAAAATAACGCTTCACGGTGGACTCACACAGTTTGCTTACCTTGTCCCTTGCCCTTTACCTTGGATTAAATCATGGAATGAATTAAGTTGACGTAGGAGCGGAGATGGCAAAATGCCTTAGCATTTTCCACGGCTGGGATACACGAATATAGAAAACGTTCCGGCGAGATTCCAACCGGTTATGCTATGTAGCATGAAGTCGGGACGGAGGGAAAAGGTAACAGCCATCATGTTGCTTGAGGACGAAGGAGTTCCACACAGTTTCATCAAACATAGCTAAACTATAAGAGCGCAAAATGTGCACCTACGCCAACGAAAAACAATTAAGTGGTTCTGTTGCATCTTAGGAACATACGAATTGGCCGACTGGATACACCATCTGACTTGCCTTTCTTTCTCGTTGAAAGCCTTGATAAGCTCGTCTTTTTGCTCCCTTTCTATCCTATTACAAGTTGCCTGTTTAGCTGGACCGAACTCCCGTATGCTTTCGTCTACGGGATGGGTATAAATAAATAAATAAATTTGTACATTTACCGACAGACGGTACACTGCCTCATAAATGAGCATTACATAAACTCGATTACAAACTCCGATCCATCGAGGGCTGTCTGCAACGGGTTCATATCGCAGCAGTTGATCCGTTGTTCGTTCAGAGCTCTGATCAAATAAATTTCCGTTCTACTTTTTTAATTTTTACTAAGCTACACACACAGAAATCAATCCAACCTTGTCTTCACGCTTAAACCGAGATATGGCAATATTGCAGTGGGTTTTGAAGATTACTGATACAAGAATTGTTTATTAGTTTTGACATTCGTTATATCCTAAAAGACCGGTTAGTTTAAGTGTACTCTCACTACAGTACCTTCCTGATTTTATTCATAAGTTTCATAAATAAACTAGATTAATTTCGGTTTGCTCATCTCAAAGGCATACCAACTCACCGTCGTCCAAGCGACGACGTCCGCCACGGGGTAATGGGTAGAGATCACGGGACACAGATCGAAGCCTTCAATTTCGAAATGTCACCTGCACGCCGATCACGGGTCGACAATTCAATCAGCGAGATTACACTCCACATCTCGACGCACTGATGATGCCGTCTCGCATGGCGGTGAAACGTTTGCAAATCAATTTCGCAGCTCGGCGAACAAATGAGCAACTGAACTCTCCTCCTAGCAGATTAAACAAGACTAGATCGATCGGTTTTGCGTTAGCGTGCACCTGCGGGTTCGGGTAATCAACTCCGGGACCATGTGAACAATGATTTTATACGGGTTAAGAAGCATTGCTTTACAAGCTACGTTGGATGGTCTAATGAGTTAGCGAAAAAGGTTAATGAAGTAAACAGTTAGTAGTTTTACGGTGAAAATAATAGACTTAAAGTTTTGGATTCAGTAGCCCTGCACACCGAGCATTTCCATAACTTCGATAGGCGAAAAAAGTAAATCCAAGGTATTTCTGGGGAGTAGAATTGCGAGTAGCGTCAAGTAACAAAACATAAGTGGCGGAGGGCGTCATCCAACCGACTTTACAATATGGCTAGCGTGGGTGCTGAAACAACAGATTCGGAGACATCATTCCATGGTTGACACACACAAATAGAAAAGAAGTTTCTATAGCACACCATTCGACTATACTGTTTTGCTAATTTCAAGGGGTGACCTCTAAGTTTGGTGTTACTGCTGAGTTGCATTAAAAAACGGCACGTATGGTTTGGATTGTGTACAATCAAATAGGTCATAATCATATTGCCTCGTAGTCAGCCATAACGCCCCTGAATACTCCGAAATGTTTCATCCTCTGCTCGTACGAAGGTGGCTCATTCCAATGACATATTTAGAAACCCGACGTTGAGGCTGGTCCAGTGCAGTAAGGTCGTGCTTTAGCTATGGCTGCCAGGCTTGGATTGCGTGTTCAACACTGGGAAGAACATACGCATTAAGCATCTCTCTGAAAATGGTGGTGTCTAGTTGTCCGTACGCCCGTCGTAGCAAACCAACGTGCTGGTTACCAGCTTTTGAGGCTTCCGCGGATCGCTTGGAACAACCCAAGTTATCCTGAACAAGGACGCTAAGGTCGCGTTCGACGGATGGCTGCTGCAGTATTTGCGTTCCTAGCTTGTAGGCATAGGTACTCTGGTGTCGTACGGAGAGTACCTTACTTTTTTCCCTGTTGAAGTGTAACAGATTTCGGATTGACCAATCATGTACTGTAGCTTGGTCACACTGAAGTAACTTCTGATCGGCACCCGCCTGAATACGGTGCCATATCTTGATATCCTCAGCAAACAGAAAGCCATTTGAGGCGATATTCCTTGCAGTTTCATTGACTTTGATAGTGTTGCCAACATTGAGGGAGTTTGAAGCTTAAATCGACACAAAATTGTCCATTTTCTAACCTTACGCTTCACATCTCCGCGTCTAATCCAATTTGCTTGATCTATTAAATAAATCGAACAGCGGGATTTCATCCTGACTCAACCGCACACTCGAGATGAACAAGTCACGGGACTGTCTTAGCGTTCCTGTCCGCTTGGAAGTTTATGACAGATCAGTTAGGTAGACCATTAGTAACAATGAAAGATAAGGTTGGCTGCTTTAATAGAATCAATTCTGGTCGTCAAGTGTAAAATTAAGTGCATCCAAGTTTGAACCATTTTGTACTCACCGTTCTGTAAAGCACATAAAAACCATTTTTTAATTCCTTGATCAATGCATCTCGTTATAAAATACTTCGGCCGAATATTTTGATGACCGTATTTACCAGTATTTATCATGGTTTGTTCTAAATTATCTTAGACGGCACGCATTTTTCGGCGAATGACTTTTGGCCCCCATCCCAAGTTGATCTGACATATTTGGAAGAGGAATGCAGGGATTGGCAGCGTCGCTTTCCTCACCTGCGGGTGGTTGGCGTTGGAACGTCGCAAACTCACAGTAAGTCTGTCTCTGATATAGTAAAACAACTCTCGCGTTTTGATAGTGCAAAGTCTGATTTGATTAGTGCACTCACAAGGGGGTTATTCACTACTGTAGTAAACTAGATCTTTGTAATCAGTACGTTCTGACGCTTTGACCATTTTTACGAGGCTGGCTGCTCACCTTGATGACTTCTAGCTTATTTTGCTTTTAAATTAATCGTTAATGATCAACGACGTCTGATACTTTGAGCTTACTTTCTAATCTATTGGCAGGATCTTCCCAAGGCTCAAGCTCCGACAGTAATTCGCGATCCTCCGTCGGCTTACAGGTCGAGCACTCTCTTGAATTATCGAAGGAGTGAGTTTACCATGTCTAAGGGGGTTTGTCTCAGCCTTCAAGAGTATTATTTACTGGTTCTTGTTTTTGTCCTTTACTTTCTAAGAATGATCACTTCGTAAACTATAAGATCTTTCTTCTGACGGTCCTTTGTTATTACTGGTAACCTCATTTGAATCCCTATACGTTGTGTTCAGATCCACTTACGGTTACATAGCCTAGTTGTCGAAATCCTAGTCAACAGTGAGGGATCGGGTTTCAGTTGTGTTTGATTCATATTCAGGTAGATTCGTAGAAAGTGTCTGACACCGATTACTTCACAAATCCGAAAGATATAGGTACTTAATTGGCTAACCCCGTATATGTCAACTTATCCATCATTCACAGACCGTTAACGCATATGGCATCTTTTTGGCGCTCATCCGAATCAGTTCACTTAGTTCGACGAATGGAACAATGCAATCGGTCTTTGAAATTATAATGTTTGGTGGTTGCAACAGTTTGCTTCGATTGAACTAGTTTATATTGTTTTTAACCATCCCTAAAAGAATGGAACTAGTGGCCAGTCTGCTGGATCAGTGAAGGTCTTAAAACCGCTGACCTAATTTTGTGATGATGGACAACCCACCTGGTCAAAACGGCTTGTGTTTACCAGGTGATACAGTACAACTCCCACTTCAACGCCATCAAGTCAAGTAAACATGGGTTTTATGCACTTAACTTGGGACATTTTCAGCATTTTACATTAACACTGAGAATGTAATGAGGCATAAAGTTGACATGAAATTTCCATCCAAATGTTAAGATGAATAAAACAAGTATGTGCATCCCTGAAGCGAACGCACATGAGTGATGCTGATAAGTTAATTGGAGTCCACAATGCATTGTAACGACAAAGTCAACGAGAGACTGAGCATTGCACTGTATCTGGAAATGAGATTCATGGGAAGCACAATCAGTGTGAAGACGTGTTGTATGCGACCAGGAGAATGATAGGTGAGCCATATAGTCAGTTAGGAAGTATGGGGCAGTCAAAAAAATTTAAATTAAAGAGCAAGGAACATAAGGCATTTTGAGTCTCATCGCATCAACTGATAATTTTCGCACCTTGCAACAATCCTTTCGTCAACTTGTGTTGATCATAATATATATTGGGATAAAAATATGCCAAGGTACTTAACGGTGCATGAATTTGATATGTTCTGGTCAATCACCACCATAAGGCGAGCAGTTTTGGTCAAATTCAAATGTTTGTCAGTGCAGAGAAAAGGGAAAGTTGAATCGCAGCGTATGTTATCAGGGCGAGGACAAACCTTCGAAGTACATTTAACCCAAGTTGGAGAGCTGTTGACAATTTAGCAGGCGGAGCCATGCTGCCTAGGACTGCTCCGTCAGCGTATTTACATCCAGTAAAGTTGGGAGAAGTCGGTTCATTATGATATACAAAGAGGAGCGAGAGGATTGCTGCTTGTGAAACACACAGTCTTCAAGAAGAGTGAAGGTATTTACAGTTTAGTTGGGTGGAATGATATTGGTTTACGTAGTAGCCGCTAATCGAGTTGCACACTGCTGGTTGCACGCCATTCGCAAACAGCTGATTGAGCATGGTTGCTCTGTCGACACCACCAAATTCGTTGGAGTAATCAGCCTTGCACTTTGCATTAAATACAGATACTATTGTGTGAACAAGGTAAGTTACGATATCCAACATTGTACACCGGAGTCTGCTGGCAAACTGAAATATGTCCATAGCCAGCTAGCCTTTTGAGATCCAAGAGAGGAGCAGTCACTCCAAGACTTTCAGCATGATGGGCGTACAGGCGATTGGACAGAATTTTCTGGATCCCTTCTTTGGCGCGGGCGTTATCCTGGCAGGCCCTCCACTATCGAGCATATTTGCACTATGTAGGCACTGATTAAAATGAGCTCTCAGAGCATAGTGAAGGTACCAACACACACTAGAGAATTTGGTGAAAGGGTATCAGGTCCACTGACGTACCTTTGATTTCAACTTCCTGAATTCTCGGTAGACTTTACCGTGTTGGTATGTAATTTTGGGCCAGAGGCGGAGAATGAAGACAAAAATGGTGAAAAGGAGGGGAATGCTTCCTTTGGGGAAGAATAAACTCAGAACTGAGTTTCTACATTCACAAAACCAAACTTCTTACTGTAGCTTTTATTGTATAGCTGCTTTAAAAGTCTCCACAGATCTCGGTAGTTGTGGTTGCATAAAACGGCTTCATAGTATATCTTCTTTAGTCGTCTGATCTCAGTTTGTATTGCTAAAGAAAGTTGTTTGGTGCAGCCAAGCCTTCTAGATTTATAGACCCGAATTTTACTTCTTTTGTGACTTGTTGGAGTGCTGATGAGGATAGTCTAATTTACTCGTAAGTAGATGGTTTCAACCAGGCATCACAAATCATAGTAAACCTTGAGCTGGTCAGTGATATGTTCATATTGAACAGAGTGATATTCGTTGCATCAACTACCAAGCAAGCAAGTGGTTTTTGATGAAACAGGTAGTTATCGGTTGTTGTATCCGTTACGGTCACAGTGATCGCAGTGACCAGGGTTCACTTCAATGGGAATCGGGGTCTATGAACATCTGTTTTCGGCAAATTTATGCATGAACCAAGGCCACGGCATTATGTGAATTCGCCGAGACTGAACAAATATCCTGGCATAAGATTGAAACATTTAGCATATAAAACACAAAATATGGTGGGAATTGCTCGCGAACATGTGAGTTTACGTCCTTAGTGTGAGATGTTTTGTAACATCGCGCCCCGCCTGTAGGTGTCATACACTTCGAGGGATCCTCTCAAAGTAGACACGCATAAGTCGAATGTGTCAAGTTTGGTGGGCCCCAGCGTCGAACCGTGATTGGCGAAGGCTGGGAATATGTGATCCCAGTGGTTGATGATTATGGGATGATGCATGATATTTAATGCCGTAGGAAATTCCGAGCACACAAAGCGAGCTATGGCTTCCGCATGAGCACCCACACCGTATTTGTTAACTTTTTGTTTGGTAGCTACGGGTCTTTCTGTAAGTGACGCATATTGCCAAGTCTATTACGGGTGCTGTAGAGTTCTTGATGGCGATTAAATCTGGCTTGATGTACGTTGATGCTGCTGTGATGCGGAGCTCAGAAATGATTTGGGCCCTTTTACGACGGAGGCTGTTGGTTATATGCTTTATGATGTGTCGTTGTGCCTCTTACAGCGAGCATCGTGGGTTAATGCACAAGACTGCAAGACGTAGTAAAGTGTTTCGTTTTGTCCGCAAGCACCCCAGCAGTGAAGATCAGTTGAGTTTGAGGGTAATCGTCCACTGGAGCCTAGAGATTTGGTCGACAGCACCCCTGCTCGAAGTTGGCTTCCTCTGATGTTGAATATGTGGAAAAGTTTCTTGAGGTTCTTAGCCAATTGTGAGACGCTGGCGTCGCAAGGATCCGTACACAGACTGTAGTAGTGAGCTTTTCTATGCTTCCTTCGCATCATTTTTGTCAAAGACGACTTGATTCCCAATGATGAGGGTTTTCATGGTGAGGCGCAGGATGGTAGTAGGTTGTAATATGCTATGCAGCAAGGAAGGGCTAGTTCATTCACTGTTCCAAAATGGAACCGCGTACAAACTTTCTCTGACAGGGTATGCTTTTTTGTGGCGGAAACTTCACAACTAAGTAAAGTCCAAATTTAGTTTGTAGGCCACGATCGTCACCTTTCAGACGAACAAACAAGATTTACGAGCTTTTTGATAAATATTAACCGCGGTTCGATAACGTATATGTTAATGCGTCTCCCCACTCAAGGTTTTATTCACAAATCTAACAAGTCTTGGAGTGCAGCGTTGAGGGTAGGAACATATCATAATTTACCTGTTCAGTAAATGAAGTAAATGCGACGCACTTCAAAACAGGTCACGGCCATGCTTGATATCTTGTCGCAGTGGTTCTATACTGTGAGTGGTTTACACGAACCCAATATGAACCGAAGGGATTAGCACGTTTTCACAATTGTCCTGAGGGTTACAGCCAAATTCACTGGAATCTGGGTCCAATAATCGGTGATCGCTCCTAACTCTAATGTCTATTGTATGTGTGGTTGGCAGACAGCCCTGACCACAGCGGGTGAACGCGAAACGCGATTGAGTGTCATCTATTGAATTATAGTTGACCGTACACAATCAATAGGAGCATTTTGTAATGCGATATTTGCGGAGTGTATGATTGCGCAATTTTACTGCAGTCTCGAATGGCAAGGTCAAGGACAGTGTGTTGCCGTTCATATGTTGCAAGCTTAAGTCCGACACTGTCAAAAACTGGTCTAGAAGAATGATGAATAAGGAGTTATCAGGGGTTAAAAAACGAGTGTTTGACAAGTCCCGTAGGATGATTGGGGTGAATACAATGGAATCTAAATATATATGGATCATCTGCCGAGCGCTTACCGTGCTAAATGCGTTGATAAATAGCGTTAATACAAAGTAAACATCGTGCACAAACATACAGGGGAACACGAACTGCACTGATCGTCAACGTAAAGCGTGAAATTTACTGGAAGGACTCGCTCACTCATGTGCCGCCTCCTTGGGTCCATGTGATATATAAATCCGTTAGAAGGGCATAAATAATGTGATTCACAATAGCGCAGTTTATGCAACAAACTGCTGGGGCTAAGAGCAACATCCAATCGTTTTCTGAAAATGTCCAAACTAAGAGAGCATACAATTGAGTTTGGGAGAGAGTTCCATGCTTGGCACACCCACAGAGAAAAGTAATCACCTCGACACTAGACGGCTGTTGACTACGAGCTTTGTGTCCTGCCTGGATCTCCACAAATAGTGACATACGTGATTGGGACTATTCAGTCTTTGGTACACTTACATGCGATTGTGGCGCAGCCTTCGGTAGCATTCACTGGAAACCCCCAGCAACTTCAGCCTTTGCTGGTAAGAGTGATTGCGTGGGCCCGTGACATTCTTTGTTGTTCTGCCTTGTGGCGCTTCGAGTGCCTCTG